GAGGGAGAGGAAGAGAATGGAAGGAAGGATGATCAACCGTGATGCCCGTACTTCTCAAACTTGGTGCTGGGAGTCTGCTTAAAAATAAGGAGGAGGAAGGAAAAGAAAAGGAGGAGGAAAAAAAAAAACCAAACCAGAAAGGAAAGGGGGGAAAAAAAGATAGCTGGACATGCCTCTCGCCCTCCGAGATGAAGCAAAGTAGACATTGTGCGTCCCGTCAGCCGTTGCCAAAAGCCGAAAGCGTCCGAATTTGTAGCAACAGAGAGCTCTTTTTGAGCCCTGCATATAATTAAGTCAAACACAAAGGAAGCTACTGAATGGAGCTTGTCAATCTCTGGAACAGGGTGGGTAAGACACTTTTTAATTTCATTCTCTCGTGGAGAGGGGTGTTTTTCACCCCCCATAATTGTTCTCGTCTTTGCGGCGGGGTCTAAAAAAATGGACAAATTCTCGTGTACCTTTTTGAATGCTTCTGAACTTTAAAGGCTGTCCTACAGAGTCCTGCATGCTGCATTTATGTGCCCCCCCAAACCCCCAACGACAAGTCCAAGATTTGGCCCGATGACTCTCTTTATTTCTGCCTGTGCCCGTCCCCTTGCCCTTTTGCTGACATATGGTGTGATGTAGAATTTATACGGAGAAAGGCAAGTGACCAAGTCAAAGATTCAATGGACTTTCTCAAGCACATTGGGGAATATTCTCGCTAATGGATTTCCTTCTCATTGGGGTCTGTTTAAACTGGCTGCTGAAAAAGCCCCCAGGGTTGATCCTGTGTAGCCTGGGTGTTTTTTTAAAAATGCTTCCAGCCGTGCACACTGGGTGTCCGCAGCTTTGCCGGTGCGAGGGCAGGCTCCTCTACTGCGAGTCGCTGAATCTCACCGAGATGCCGCACAACCTGTCGAGCGTGATGGGTTTGTCATTGCGGTACAACAGCCTCTCGGAGCTGCGTGACGGACAGTTCACCGGGTTAACGCAACTCACGTGGCTGTTTCTGGATCACAATCACCTTTACTCCGTCGAGGCGCATGCCTTTCAAAAGCTCCGGCGGGTGAAAGAGCTCACGCTGAGTTCCAACAAGATCACCCAACTGTCCAACAGCACTTTCCGGCCGATGCCAAACCTACGCAGCGTGGATTTATCCTACAACAATCTGCAGGCTTTGGAGCCGGACCTGTTCCACGGCTTGCGCAAGCTCACCACGTTGCACATGCGGTCCAATGCCCTTAAGTTTGTGCCTGTCCGGATCTTCCAGGACTGCCGCAGCCTCAAGTTTCTCGACATAGGATACAATCAGTTGAAGAGCCTGGCTCGCAACTCTTTTGCGGGCTTGTTCAAACTCACCGAGTTGCACCTGGAGCACAACGACTTGGTGAAAGTCAACCTGGCCCACTTCCCCAGGTTGCTCTCTTTGCACTCCCTCTGTCTCCGGAGGAATAAGGTCACGCTTGTGGTGAACTCCTTGGACTGGGTGTGGAAGTTGGAGAAAATGGACCTCTCCGGCAACGAGATCGACTACATTGAACCTCACGTTTTCGAAAGTGTACCTCACCTCCAGTCCCTTCAACTGGACTCCAACCGGCTCACCTACATCCACCCCAGGATCCTCAACTCCTGGAAGTCTCTTGTTAGCATCAGCCTCTCGGCCAACGCCTGGGATTGCGGCCGGAACATCTGCGCGTTGGCCACTTGGCTCAGCACTTTTAAAGGCCGCTACGACAACAACTTGCTCTGTGCCACCCCTGAGTATGCACAGGGCGAGGACGTCTTGGATGCTGTCTATGCTTTTCACTTGTGCGAAGACGCCACGGACCTCACCACCGATGGGGACCTCCTCTCGGCTGGGGTCAACCACAGTGACCCGACGGCCGGCTATAACCCTTCGACTCTGAACTCTGACCTGCAGGAGGCCGAAGGGGATGGAATCACCGACGTCATGACCCCCACCGTCCCCAACGAGAAGACTGAGAACGCCGTTCAGATCCACAAGGTGGTGACGGGGACCATGGCCCTCATCTTCTCCTTCCTTATTGTGGTTTTGATACTGTATGTCTCCTGGAAATGCTTCCCGGTCAGCCTCAGGCAGCTGAGGCAGTGTTTTGTGACCCAGCGTCGGAAGCAGAAACAAAAACAGACTATGCATCAAATGGCTGCCATGTCAGCCCAGGAATATTACGTTGATTATAAACCCAATCACCTCGAAGGAGCTCTGGTGATCATAAATGAATATGGATCCTGTACGTGCCACCAGCAGCCAGCCAGGGAATGCGAGGTGTGATTTTAATTCTGCTTTTGTTATGTTGTTTTTTTTTCCAGTGGGGGAAAATTTCACTCGGTGTGTGCTACCAAATAGCAGTGAGCAAATTATTATTATTATTAAAAAGAAAAAGACAATTCAATAAGGGTTGACTTGGCTTACCGGGGCCTTTGTGTGCCGAAAATGTTTTGGTTTTGTTTCTGTTTTTTTTTTTGAAAGGAGCTGTCCCAAAAGACAGGATGTTAGCTTTATTGTGGCTAAACCCCTTCACGACGTTCAACTTTCTGACATGAGTTATTTCCTATAATAGCTCTCTGTGGGGAAAAAAAAATAATAATCTGCCGATAACCAGAAAAAAGAAAGTGTAAAAACAAAAAAAAGTAACGATGACTGATATTTTTTTTTGTAAAACCACCACCACAAAAAAAAGATACGTTTAAAAAAATAAAATAAAAGCAAAACTAGCATTTACAATTTTTACAGGCTGTTGCACCGTATCTGAATTGTTATCTGTATTGGGGTGGGAAGGTGGATTTAATCCCTCTCACCCACAGGGAGTCGAACTGCAAAATCCTGGGTTCCTAAACAAACCACAACGAAGCACTTAAACTTAAAAGGAAAGCAATGGGAGAATTGTGTGGCTAGTTGTACCATGTAACTGTTGAATTCAATGTGTTTGATCTCAATCTGCTATGTAATCGATCTTTTATATGCGTGGTGGGGCCCACTCTAATTTGCACCTCCCACAGCCTTGCCCCCCCCCTTTGGTCACAAGACTCAGGCACAAGGGTACCCCAAAGTTCCTTTAAGACCCCGTCCCCCCCGTCCCCATCTGAAGCTTTTCTCTCATGTTCTCAGCTTGCATTAAAAAAACAAAAAACAAAATGACTTCCATCATTGGAGATTTGGGATGGAGATAGGACCCTGTTTTCCATCTGGTACCCCACATTTTTACACCCACCATTGCACGACAGAGAGACCTGCAGGAATTGTAAACTCCCCGGCCTGCAGAGCATTGGGGCAGCCGACCTAGAGACAGCCACCAACCCCTTTCCCCTGGGGGGAAACTCTTATTTGTGTCGCTCACAAAGGTTGGGGAACAATCTTATCCACAGGCCAGCTTCGACCACAGTTAGCATTTAGCTGTGGTTGATCTTAGCTTGCCACCAGAAACGTTCACGTTGACTCCTGCATCATGTCTCCCAACTGATAGGCNTGCATGGCCAATTTCTGGAAAAAATAAAAGATAAAGTGGACAGTGAACAAACTTGGTTATGGTTAACAACAGGTACATTAAAGAAAGAAACAGTGCCTGGCACTTCAGAGGTCCAGAAAATCCTCATCTCTTGGAGGATGCAAAAGGGGGAAGCCATGTGGTTTGAAACTCCGGAACATGATCCTTCAGAATTCTTGCTTATCTGTGCCTCAGAGAGGCTTCATGTTTTCACATCTGCATATTGGTGGGAATCCACATTGGGAGAGGTTCCTTATTCATGGATTTTATAGCCTGAGGGTCCCAGAGCCTGCTTTCAATGCTGTTTTGCTTTCACTACTTTTCAACAAAAAGTTCTCAACCTGGAGAGAACTTTTTTCCTTCCAAATTTATACTTTACTGAGGGAACCCTACAACAATGTCTGAACAGAACAACAACCAAGGTGAAGCTGAGTGCTGGGGACAACTACGAAACCCAATACTGGCTCCATATGTCCCATAGAAGACATCAAAGCTGTCTTTGAAAGTTCCACAAAGCCTGATGGTTGGTCAGTATAGGAAAAAGGGACAGCTGGGATGGAAGAACCGGGGGGGGGGGTTACCCTCACCCACAGCAGCTGCAAACCCGGGTGAAAAGAGGAACTGGAAGCCCTTTCTGATCAAGAAGAACTGATTGGGGAACCACTAGCAGATGATCATTTGAAGCAGCACATAAACTGCCTCGTGATGGAAGCCCTGCAAAACCTCAACATCCGAGGTGAACCGGGATGCCAATGGAGGAGATTGGGTGATCCAGCAGCCAAAAGATCCCAAGCAGTCACCCCGATCCAGCTGTGACTGACCACGCAGCTGACCAAGCTGGGGGAGCAGCAGCCATGCCAGAGATCCAACCTCCTGTCATTTCAGCCCAGGCGATATTTCCTGGCTAACCCAGGGGTCCACTCCTAGAGAGGAAGGCTCCCCTCTTGGGGGTACATTTTGACAGAGATCCCCATAAATTGGGGTTTTTCCTGGTTCAGATCCTCACCTATATACAAGAATATGGATGCAATTTTCCAACCCAGGGAGCACGTATGAGTTGTCATCCTAGTCCTAGGAGGGGCAGCTGCCAGATGGATAGTGACCCTCCAGAACGCTTCAGAACTGCAGGACTTTGATTGATTCATGACAGCCCTGTGCCACTGCTTCAAAAGCTTCCTTGCTATCACAAAGCCCGCAACCATATTAGAGTCATAAAGTAGGGCCATTACCCTGTGGCTGAATACACCAAAGAATTCTATGACCTGGCTGGCCGAGTTGACTGGCCAGAAGATATCCTAGTCTTCTGGTTTAAAGATGGGCTCAGTGATGACCCACACTGCCTGCCTGGCCCAGGGCCCCCCTAACTGCCTGCATGAATGGTACCTGGTGGCAGAGGAGGCAGAGATTGACATGACAAAACAGGGGTGGCAGGAACCATTCAAGCTCCAAACCGCCATGGTGCCAAGGCCATCAGTTTGTTTCAAGTGTAGGAAAGAGGGGCACCACACAGCAGAATGCTATTCAAAAATCCCACCAGAAAGCCTGATTGCCTGTCAGGGCGGAAACCTGCAAAACACACCACCCAGGGAAAAGAAACCGCATTGAGAAGCCAGGAAGCTGTGGAGTTTCGTTCCTCCCCACATCCAGAGGAAGGAACTCCAGCACTCCAAGAAGACTCAAGCAAAAGTGATCCAGAAGACGACCTGCTGGTAAGCGACCCAATCAAACCACTCACCCTACCCTTAAGACTTTTTATCCCCAGTCAAAGGAAAGGGGAGAAGTAGCAGCATTACTGGACTCAGGGTATACCCAATGCCCAATTAGCCCAACCCCGGCAGGGAGATTGGGAAACCATCTAAGGAAAATGAAACCCCCCATCTCTTTCTGCCAGCTAGAGGGCACAGAAGCATGGGGGGAACCAGCCCTTTTTGCCACAGAACCATTACAAATAAAACTGGAGGACCATAGTGAGACCCTCACGTTCATAGTAGCACCAGGAATGGAATGGCCACTAATCCTAGGGCTCACATGGCTATGGAAGTGGAACCCTAAAGTAAACTGGAGGGGTAGAAATGTAAAATTCTAGAGATATTCACAAACCTCCCAGAGGAAAGGGAGATGGAGAAAGGGAACAGGGAAATGGCCATGGCTTGCCGCTCTGCTGAGGTCACTAGCATCCTGAAAGAATACCAGGATTTGGTTTGGTTGGTTTGGTTTGGTTTATTAGATTTATATGCTGCCCTTCTCCCAAGGACTCAGGGCGGCGTACAACATTAAAAAAACACATTATAAAAGTTAAAAAGAATTAAATAGAATATCCCAAACAAACCCAATTAGAATTAACAATGACATTTTT